TCTAAAGTCCGCCTGTGTTTGGACGTAAAGTGATGGGTCAGTGCCCAATGGGTTTTGGAGACTGATTTCGTTTGAAATTCGTTTAAACTGGCCCACGAGGCGAATTGGAACTGCAGAATTTTGAATTACTAACGTTCTGTTTTTCGAAGCTGCAATAAATACTAGCTTGGATTTGAGCTTTCGAATTCTGATGCTTGCTGTAAATTGGGTACGAGATCACGGGTTAGGCCACTGTACATCGTAATGGAAGATTTTCCGGAAATCTGGTTTTCACAGTTCTCAAGTTTGTCTAGACAAACACACTTGTGCTCGCCAAAATGTATTTGGTTTATGACGGTTTATGACTGTTTTCAAGCCTTTCAGGTTAATATTCGATGGGTGAACGTCTTGCAAACCTATCATTTGATGCGTGCTTTGCATTTCGATGAGGTTATTTACGCATTTTTATTGTAAAATTAGCTGCATGTACACCAACTCCAATCTGTTAGGGAGCAGTCCAGTCGCATTCGAAAATTGCTTTTTGTTACACCTCTTGGTTAAATAGCTGTTTTGTTTACTTATACCGTTCAAACTTTGTTGATGGCTCTGCTGCCGGTGGACTCTTGCTTGTCAAAGATCTAGCAGGTTCAGAATTTTGGCGTAGAACTTTCTAATACTGATTTTTTTTTAGTAAGCTAAGCTCTCCGAATACTTTCAGGGGCATAATTTTCACCTCAACTACATGAATGTTTTCTGCAAAGCATTGGGTTACGATGGAAACGATCGCGCATGTCTTCGAATAACATCGGATTGTTTGAAAAACTGCAGTGAGTACTGACAACTTAATGCTATTTCACTGACTGAACCGGTCTGGAAGACATTAAGCCTCTCTATTCAGTCTAAGAAAATGTTGTAAATTATTGTGAAAAAGATTTACAATATTACTGATTGGATTTTCAGGTCGCAAAGATCCAGAGCTAGCTCGCGTGCTAAAGATTTTAATTCGAAAGAATTCTCTGGATGCGTCGCAACTGCAGGATTGTGGACTTCGACAGGATTAATATTCCTTGCGAAAGGTTTGATGTGGAATGGCGAGAATAGACC